GAATGCCGTCGATATGTCGAGTAAGTCATCGATTGATTGCTTATTATAAACGAAGCGCTAAAATATGTTTTGTCGTTATAATAGTCGAACTGACAGTGAAAGTGATCAGTGGAAGCGCCTCTCCATTTGGTAACGTGAACTGCACGTTCACTATTCCCGAAGAGGTATTCATTCAAACGTTTTGTTTTTGGTTTGATTTTAATATATTCTGTGATTGACAGCTGGGCTCCGGAATCAGCAGTTACCAGGCATTCTATATCAATAAACACCAGGGTCGCAAATTGACGTGGGTGTACGCCAAGTCCAGGGGCGACATCCAGTACCGGTGCCCGAACGGCAAAAATTTCGTGTTTACGGCGAGTGTCTTCCAAATGGCAATTATGCTTCTGTTCAACCGATACGACGAGATGTCCATCGAAGACATACAGAAGAACACTGACATTAAAGTAGAACTTTTGGTCCAAATCTTGAAAATCTTTTTGAAAGTCAAACTACTTCTCTGCGTCGCCTCTACTAAAGATGAGAGCGAACTGAAGGCCACAGATGTTATGAAATTGAACACCAATTACAAGAACAAGAAACTGAGAATCAATATTAATGTTCCCATTAAAACAGTCGACAAGGAGGACGACGAGCGGACGCACCGCCAGATCGACGAGTCGCGCAAATTTGTCATTGAGGTATGCGTTCACTCATTTCGTCATAAAATCTCTCAAAATTAACGCCAATTAACGCACTTATAGGCAGCGATTGTTCGTATAATGAAAATGCGAAAATCACTCAAACATCAGGAACTGGTGGGCGAAGTACTCAACCATATCGGCGCCAAATTTTCGCCAACCGTTCCTATGATTAAGGTATTAATATTTGGAATGATTTGTTCGATACTTTGGTTTCTAATATCTAATTGAATGCAATTTACAGAAAGGGATAGAAGAGCTGATACAACGAGAGTATCTGGAGAGAGACGCCACCACAAGAGATGTGCTAAACTACTTGGCCTAATGTTATGTCGTTTAGTGTTAACTATTTTTGAAACAAATTGCATTAATTAAAGATTCATTTCATAAACCAAACAAAACCAGAAAAATATTTATAATAAAAATAACACTTTATTATCCGATTTTGAAATGCCATATAAAATAACTACATATAAAATTACATAAATAAAATAAAATCTAATTTTTTGTTTTAATCTTGACCACTTTGGTTCGCATGAAAGTCTTGTCATAGCCGGCGGGCGGTTGACTGACTCGATAGTGCTCCTGCACTTTGTTGAGCTCCTCCTCGACGTTGCCGAGCAGTGGGCGAAGTGTTGGGTCGCCGTTCCAGCACTGCTCCATCAGTGACCAACAGTCGTCATCGAAATGGGGCAGTCTTTCCGGTCGAGCGCCTAATGTATAGTGTATTGATTACAGCCATGTTTGACGGCTTTCAATCTCTGCTGACATACCTTTCTTGACTACTGTCCACAATTGATCTTTGCTTTGGCACTGTTCGAAGACGTAGGGAAGCCTCACATGTCCGGCACATATATACCAGAAGAGTATACCAAACGCGTAGACGTCGACCATTCCGTCGTAACGGCCGGAGAACAGTTCGGGCGCCATATGTATGGGAGTGCCCACTATTGAGCCCGACATCATGGCCTCCGGCTTACAAAAGCCCAGATCTGTAATCTTCGCCCTATTCTTGTTGTCCAGCAAAACGTTCTTCAGTTTGATATCTCTGTGAACTAATCCCTGGCCGTGAAGGTAACGAATACCGTGTATCACATCGATGGCCACTTGTAGTCTCGCCATCCAATCCAAGCCATTCTTGATGGCAGCGTACAAATCGCAGACCATTC